GTGCAACAATTTGATTTATTATTTAATATTTCTGTTAAATATAACACAAATCGTGTATAAGATAAGTGATGTCATTACTCAATGTCTGAGTATAACTGCCATCGATACTTTTGTAAGAAATGTGAACGCAACCCCTTGGTAGGAGAAGTGATTGACGTGGTTACAATTCAGCCGCGACAGCGACAGTGAGGTGTGAAATTAATTTAATCTTGAGACGATCCAACACTCACAAATCCTTCTCGTTGGCCAACGACTATGAAATTGAATTGCGTGTCTCGAAGTCCAACTTGTTACACAGTACAACTGTTCGTAACTCAATATTATGGCATGAAAGATTATTTATTATTTATGGCTAAAAGAGTGTTATGGCGGATTCGTCTATAATGCAACACACACACTCCCACTATCCACGATCGCAAACTAGCATCGAACCTGCAGTCCACCTCAACTTCCGATTATTAAACTTCCTAATTATTTCACCAATGGCTATTTTACCCTCGTAAACTATTGATGTGAATAACGCTAAATTACAAAAATAATGTGTGGTTTTTGTGTTTTTGTAATTTGATGTTTGTTCTCATCAAATTCAGTACAAAAGATCTCTTCAAAGAACCTCCCCGTCTCGTGTACAGGCAACCTCCAAACCTGAAGAACATACTCGTCCGACCCCAACTACCTAATCCTTCCACCAACCTACCAGAATCACTTCCCAAAGGCTCATATCAAAATGTTCAAAATTAGCATTTGAAACATTGCTTCTCTCACCTGTGCTCTGTGCCAGATGTGGAAGCCTCCAGTGTAGCTGTGTGCCAGTATGGTGTTGCCTCTGGGGCCGAACCTAGTGCCGTAGAAGCCCAGAGTGTTGCCCCCCACCTCTCCCATCCTATCCTGCTCTAGCCACACACCCCCACCTCCGTCCTCGGGCGCCCACACCACCACGGTCTTGTCCAGTGAGGCAGTCAGCAGTTGCAAAGGTTGAGTCCACGACTTGCCTGAGTCTAACAGTATTAGGCCTTTGTTATGCATGTCATTACACTTTTACATTATACTTTTGAAAAAGCTCTTTTCCAGGGGCCAAAATATATTAAATTAATCGTCTTGAGAACTAAAAGTCTTCTATAAAAATTTCATTTGTATTTTAAACATTTTTCAGTTTGAGTTTTTAGGGTAGAATTGTCACTTTAGGTCCAACGAAACCTTATAAAAATTCCTTCAAGTGGTGTGTTTGTGTCTGTAGGCCTATGTGTTAAGTATGATGTGTACAGTACACCTGCAGTCTGATTTTAATGAATTTTTGGGAACTTTAATTTTTAACGGTGATTTTCCGATAAAAACATTAAAAACCCATTAAATAAAAGAAAAATCGGATATTCACAAAAACTGGTTGAAATTATTATTATTGTTAAAATTTAGTATGTTATGGTATTTTTAATTATCAACAAAATAGTCCAACCACCAATGCTGTAAAATTAGGGCTCAAAAGTTATTGCAATTGTCCCCATAAAAATCGTCGTTACAACCACCACTTGCCCATGATAAGTGTTGTTGACAAGCTAATGGGGGAACATATGTGTCAGATTGCTGATACTGTTTATTACCTGTTAAGATGGGTGGATGCCAACACAGGCCGTATACTCTCCCATCATGCCCCAGTAGTACAGACTCCAATCCTACATCCAGCCTCCTGTGTCCAACAGCGATCTGCTGTTGTTCAACAGTCAGCTCTTTCTTTGCCTCATCACCCGTCGTGTGGTGGAACCTCCACAGCCGAACTGTAGCGTCCAGACTCCCACTGGCGAGCAGCAGATCCCCACTATCTGTACGACAAAGTTATATTGTGAAGGTCATGAAGGTAATAATAACTACAAATGGCTTAACACATTGCTTATCCTTCACCCTTAGGGGTGTAAGTAGAATAGGGATGAGCATTGATAGGTCAACCTTAGATTTACCGATAACATTGTCGTGTTATCAGGGGACAAACATTGACTACGAAGTTTTTCAATTTGGGTTTTTCGTCTGCTTTCTGACTGAGCTAATTAACCTAGCTACTAGCTAGACATTCCATCCCCATGTTAAAGTTGTAGCCAGGTTTTTAATAAAATTTGTCTTAGTTGATGTGAACCACCTACAGATTGCGCTGATCTAAATAACTGATTTCTGCCGATTACATGATGGCTTACATGATTTTACCAAGTCAAACTGCTGGAATGACTTACTATGAGCATAGTAACTGTTGTGACCCAGGAACTATGTCATTCACGAAAAATAAGGTACAATGGCAGCATTTCAAACAACCAACTCAACAATGTAGACTGTAGAGGTATCTCATCTGATTCTACCTTTGTCTAAGTCTGGTCCGTGTGTGATATTTTTGGAGCCTTTCAATGGATTAAATACAAAAAAAAACAATTCCTGTTTGAGACCAACTAAACTTTGTTAAAATTCAAAACTAATTCAATTTAGTTACGGAAATTTATAATCTTATTATTGTTGATATTCTTATCGAGTCAAAAACATCTATGTTTGACAAAACATCAGTAACATACCATCGAACATTGATAGAAAAAAATGTATTTTAGAAAACATTGGCTATTTCATAAACTATAGGCTCATTTCTATGGTAGACCCTCTCTTTACCAACCTTTACTAACAATCACTTGGATTAAACTCCTTTGATTCCTAAAAACGGTTGAATATAACAACCATATTTAGGAATCAATTTATTCAGAAATTATAAACCAACTACTATTTTAAGGGATTAGTTGATAAACCAACTACCCGGGCAGAGATTGTTAATCCAACTAGCAATTGATACAAGGTCGGGTGTCCTTGACTGTTGGGCTTTTAATAAAGCTTCTGACTAATTAAACAGCTGATCTAAGTAAGCAACAAAGCTAAACACAACTTCACTCCATGCTTCACTCACCTTGCATTTATTAAAGTATTCAGCTAAAAACGCACCCAAGTATGGGTGGTCATAATTGATAATTAATAATTTATTGAGACCATACGTGTGGGTTCTATTCTAAGAATGCTATCAATCTTAGACTAACATTTCAATGGCGTTAGTTAAACTGTTTAAACTTGGGGAACAAAAACTGCATTGTGAAAGTAACCAACAAACAGACTAGAGGTACCTAATTACTGATTTCTATGTGACATCAAACACGAAAAACCTCATCTGAGCCATAATTACTGTCAAACACCTTAGGCCAATAAAAATTTTATGAAACTAACATTTTTGTTAATTCTTCAACCAACCTTCACGAGTGAATTGCAACGCTGTAACCCAATCCTCGTGGCCACGTAGTGTTAGCTGCTTGACGATCCTGTCAACTTGTGGAGCAGTGGTGTCGTCGCTGGCACTCGGCTTAGTTACGGGTTCATCAGAACTAATTTGCTCAGCTCCTGAACAAATTCATGATTAAGTTACTAAGATAAGCATCTTGCATTACTTTTTAAATCATATTGACCGCATAGTTAAACAAACTTAACCCCTGAAAAACCTGGATAAACATTATACATCTGCTGTCAAGAATTACATGATAATTTTTTTAATTAATCTATACAAGCACAACTAAAATACCCCCGCCGCAGCAAACCTGCAGACTAAGCAAATTTCAACTTGTCTTATTACATTTTTGCTCAAATATTTCCATGAATAAGACATATTTTTATTCCCTATTTAAATAACATTAGATTTAATGAGTGCTTAGGTTTGCTGCTACGGGGAAGGTAAAAAGTGTTTTTTGACCATAAGTCAATAGTAAAGGATGAAATAAATAAATTTGCCAAATTGTATCAATATATATCCATAAACAAGTAAACTACAACAATTTTCATTTTCTCTATAAGAATAACATGGGAATTTTAAATTACACTATTTTTTAATTTTCTCCATGACCGTTTGGCATAAAACAGCGCTTTAATATACTAAATTATCTCTTTTTTTAAGCTCTACAAAACGGTTTTAAAAGAAATAGCCTAGAAAAATGTTTTGTTTTAGGGTCAAAAATGGGAAAACCCCATTTTTACCCTATAAAAATAAACCCCCGTTCCCATAGTCCGATCATGCTGGTTCGCGAACTCGTTCGAATAAACGTATGTTTACACGTTTGTACCAAATTTCATTGAAATCGAATCATTTTTGCTCGAGTTATCGCGCTAATGGACACATAGATATATATATAATTTTGAACGATTAGTGTTTTTGGCCTCTGGGGACGTCAAAATGAAAAAGTAAATCGGTCCCGCGCCCAGGTCTTACCATGAGGCCTACGGTAATAACTACCTCCCTATAGGGAAATTCTCTATAACACACCCTAAGTTACAAAGAAAATTTTCAAGACCCAAAGATCATTGATTCTAGCAATTTTCTTGATTTTCAAATGCGATTTTCGGGGTGAAATAGACATTTCCCCAAAAGTGCCAATGGTAAAAAGTGCTTAAAATAGTCTAATTTAGGCAGATAAGGCATAAAATGCAATTTTAACATAAGTAGTATAAGTTCAGTATTACCAAAACGAACGATTGTTCAGTATTCTTTAGCCCAACAGAAACTTTAAATACAACTTGTTTCCCAAATATTGAGGTAGGCTAATTCTTTCAAATGAATTCTATGAATTGGAAACATTAAAAAATCCCTGTGTATAGGTAAAACTAAGGAAAATTGCCCTTGCCAATAAACCTTATAGCCTACCTACCTTATGAAATTTATAAACAAAACCTTTTAACACTAAAAAATCAAAAGAGGTTATTCCTTAAATACAAAATTGAGTACTTATCCTAAGTTTTTTTACCTAATTTTCACTTATTAAGCAGAATTTAAAACTGTATTACTAGTAAATAATTTCACAACAAACATTAACTGGAAAAAAGAAAACAAGTTTTGTAACATATGTTCACAGTTTATCAGAAATCCAATCATATGGTAGCAAATAGTTTGTTTTCAAATTGCAATTAACAAAACAGTTTTTAAAACATAATATAACCTATATTTAATTTTATTATACACACAAAAATCCCCTGTTGACAATGTTACATGTACAGTACCAAAAAGAATGATGAAATTATGATTGGATATTAGGAGTTAAGGAAGGGTAAGAGTTATTTTTTTAACCAACCAATTTTATCAAATTTTGTTTTTAATAGTTTTTACAAAACAGAAAAAACAGGCCAATTTTAGTAAACTTTAGTAGTAGTTTTTTTGTGTATAAAATGCCTGCATTAAATTGCTGAATCTATTCAGACAACGTATAAATGGAGTAAAAAAAATTTTAGGATTTTATACACTTTGACTAGCCATTCTATCAGGGTTTAAGCTACGGTAGCATTTTAGTTTGCATTTTTGTTGCAAATATATTAAAGAATAATATTTTTGCTACAGTTGTCTGAAAGTTTGTAGCATTTTTGCTCAAACAAATTTCATCCCAGCCTATTACGCCTATTACAAGTGTGTCAAGCAAAGTATAGAATAAAGACTTAAGTTAAAAAAAGATATTTACTTTTCAATATTGAAATATTTTGTGTAGGCCTATGGTAAAGTTAGGTTAGTTAAGTAGATTATTTTAGATTCGATTGGCTAATACCTTAATAATTTATATCTTTTTTGAAACTAAACGTTTTCAAACGCACTAAAAAGTAGAAAATAATGTATAAATATGTGGAGAGTATAAATACATGTAAGATTTAAAACGATAAACGTGGGGATGCGTTCAATAGATAATTAAAATTACCTTCACCTATTGAACTAATGTATTATTATCTATTGCATGCACCCCACGTTTTTTGTTTGAAATCTTACAAGTATTTATACTCTCCACATATTTATAAATTATTTTCTACTTTTTAAAGCGTTTAAAAATGTTTTGTTTTAAAAAATATTTTTATTTTTCTTTAAAAAAAATATTTTTATTTTTTAATTATTTTCAACTTTTTAGTTTTTAATGTGTGTGGATGTTAAATCTATTTCAAGCATCTATATCAGATTAAGACAGAGGCATGTGGGAAATCTAAGGTGTATTTGAGTTTCTTTTCATATATTTATGTATTAGATTGAATATATGGCCTACCTACAAAAAATATATCAATCTATTCAATTTGTTGTTTACTTTATAGAATACTACAGAAATAACCATTGACATTATTAACAAACACCTTTATCTGTTTATCACCGTTATCTGTGTTTCAAATTTCAAGTCTCTAGCTCATCGGGAAGTATCAAAATTTGCAAGAAAGCGAGTTAACAAAAACAAGCCCATGGGGCGTAGCCCAAGGGAAATATGAAAATTAAATTATATAATTTTGCATTGTCTTCCATTTGTGAGCTGTGTTTCAAGTTTCAAGTCTCCAGCTCATCGGGAAGTTAGTATAAAATAGATTGCAAAATTTGTACCGGACAAGAAAGCGAGCTAATAAAAACGTTTTAAAAAGGAACTCTTTTGGAATAATGAAACATTTTTGTATTGTTAGGTTAAATTTTAGGTTATTTTATTTTAGATGAGATTAGTTGATGTCAAACGAGGGAACAAAAGTCTAAAAACGCCCCACACCAGCGTATTTTAGCCTATACACTTAACCTTTAATAGCAACGACTTAAAGCAAATTTCATACTTCGCTTTGTTCATTTTAGACATTATATAGAAAGCATTTTGATAACATACTTTGTGAACATATACAATCAACTTTAGTATAAGATTATGAAACAAAGTCAACATTATTTCAATAAATATCTTAGTTAGATAGTTCCCGTTGTAGTGATGAAATCTGAAATATGCATTTCAGATATTAAAACCACCCACAATGCCAGTGTGTGAAAAGATCAAATCGATTGTGTGCACACCAACACATAAATGTTGTGAAATATTATGTACAAAATGTAAAACACTATCACATACATCATCTAAAAGTGTAAACATCAAGACCAACGGACAACAATCCAAAACAAAAATTTTATTCGAGAAGATTCAACCGAAGAAATTTTGTGGTACGAAGGAAAACCGGGAGGAAAACGTATCCTCGAGGAAGCCCACAAGGAGGGATTTAAGTCATGTTAGGCCAAAAGTGTCCAAAGAAGAATCGTCCGACAGCGATAGCAGTGGTGAAGAACCAGTTGAACCAAAATGGAAAACTAGAAAGCCTTCGTTTTTCCCTCAACCTAAACCTTCAAAAAAGTCCGATCAAAATACACCTAATGAAGAAACTGCAAAAAGTAAACGGGCACCTAAAGGTTCAAAAGTATCCAATCAAAATACAACTGATTCCCCAGCAAAAAGTAAACGTACCCGTTCGACATTGTCCAATAAAAATCCCCGCGATAAAGACCCTGTAAAAGGTAAATGGGCAAACAAAAACAAAGAGGTTTACTCAGCTTTAACATCAAACCCTACATCTTCACAATACTGGGTACAGTCGAACCTACAATACATCATTGTGCTCCCGATGGTGAGTCAACGACGTAATTCACCGAAAATATCTCCACCCCCTCCGTCTCTGCCCGATGACGACTTGGACGACTCGGAAGAGGAAAAACCGAAATCTCAAGAATCAAGTGAATCTGAAGATTCTTCAATACTTCCAGCGATTGAAAAACCAAAATCTAAAGAATCAAGTGAATCTGAAGATTCTTCAAAACTTCCAGCGATTGAAAAACCGAAATCTCAAGAATCAAGTGAATCTGAAGATTCTTCAAAACTTCAAGCGATTGAAAAACCGAAATCTCAAGAATCAAGTGAATCTGCAGATTCTTCAAAAGATAAAAGTGATAAAAGTGATAAAAGTAGCGAAAGTAAATTGTCTTTCGAACCAAGATCAAACGCCCAACTCCCTATGCCCCAGAAGACGAAAGGATTTTGCTGCGTCAAAAAACAAAATAGTGGATGAACTTAGTGTTGATAATGTTTTCTATTGTATTACTTGGCTTATAAGAAGAGATTTTGTATTAAGAGACACACTTATATACTGGTTGATTAAATTTGAGTAAAGTACACTTTTCTTTCATAGATTATTTTGGTTCAAAAAACACTAAACTTATGTCTTTAAGTGAATTAGATTGAGAAATTACAAAAAAACCACTATTTTTTTTAATATAGACTTTCCAACGCAAATAACTTTAAATCTTTCCACAGATAATTTAAGTCTCAGTTTACAGCAAAGTACTTGGATAGGAGTTTGTAAAATCTGTACTTATATTCGTATGTTAGTTGGGAGATCTCAATATTTCTCAACTATCTACATCACAAAAAGTCTGCTAAGGACAAATTTACAATTTTGCTATTGTTTTGTGTTCAAATACCAACAATTCAATATTTAAAGCCCTCAAGAGATAGTTCTATATGCTTGGGACACAATGAAACTTGAATAAATGCAATGTGCCAATAAAACTAGATGCTTTTCATAATTAAGATATTAACTAAATAACAAAAATATTAATCTTTGTGTCCAATTGCCTGATGCATAAAACTCAAAAATTTGGCGCATACTTTGTACCAAAAACAACAAAGGACAAAAGAACCATACAGATAACAAGGGTTTCTGGATCTCGTTCAGAGTTTTTTGCATGCTTGGACTTAAATACTAACACGTGTAAATAATATTTTTGTGATTTTATAATCATTATGATTTGTGCTGATGGAAGTTTTTGTTTCAGGGGTGATAAATAAAGGAAATTATTCAATTAAGCGTACTTTACATAAAAAGTTATGACTAATTTACTGAGAAAACTATTTAGAAAAAAACACCCACACAAGGAACAAAACAACTTGAACCAGCCGATAAATCACATATCATTCAATAATCATGAAAGTCCGGAAAATTCGTTTTTAATTGATTTAGAAAACCCTCAGCATGTTTATTACAAAGAAAAACCTTATGAAAAGATCTCAATCTTCGACCAATCGAGAACCAATGAACACCTGAATATATCACAAAAAACACCATGGGAACCTATCGTGGAACAAAGTATTGCACCTCGAAAAACAAGCATGGCATTAACAAAACCCCAAGTGTTTACATGGAAAAATAAAGATGCGTACGTATACAGAATAGACTCTACGCACTCACCAGTTGAAAATCCTGATTTAGAATTTGTGATTTACATCCCAATCGATACTGCGGTAACATGGCTTAACTCTATGGATAAAACCCCAGAGTATATGTCGAAGCATTCCATCAACACAAAGCTTGAAGAAGAAGGTATGATTATGAAACCAGAAAAAATACACGGAGCAGAAGAGGATAATCACAGCCGCAGGTGCACGCTGCTCAGGTGGCAAAATAAGTCGAAGAGTAACTCAGACTCTTCAGACACAGACGATGAAGATGATGAAAAGGATGAAGACGATGAAGATGATGAAGATGATGAAGACAAGAAGGATGAGAAAGACAAAAAGGACGCAAAAGACAAAAAAGAGAAAGGGAAAGAATCCAAAAAAGACAATGTTCCAAAAGCAAGTAAACTTAAGGAGAAAAAAGTGAGAGGGCCGAAGAAGAAAGTAAAGAAAGCAAGGAGAGTGTATACAACGTATGAAGTCGATGAAGATGAAATCAGCTTAGGTCGGCTCAGGCCGCAAGAAACCCCAAGACAACCAGTGAAAATAGTGGGGAAAAACGATTTATCTGATGTATGAGTTCAAACAAATGGCCGGCCCAGTTTCATCTCTAAAACTTGTTCTGCAACAACCTAGCAGATCCTGAGAAAGTCTACAGAAATATACTTATTTTCTAATTAATACTTTTATTTATTACAACTACAACTAAAATCCTGGACACATATTACATGTTAGAAAAGGACTCCAGGACACAAGAAAAAACTCATATTTGTCTGTTTGTAGGCCTACCTTGTTTACAGACTATGTAAGACAGTGGAACTTTAATAATTCTATCACTAAAAGAGCAGAAAAGCTATGTGATTTATTCAGGAATTAAAATAGGTAAGTCTAGTAATAAAAGGGTCACACTTTACGTCACATAACTGTGCATAAGTTGAATAAATTTAGAGGTATAGTTTAGTCTATCTCTGACATTTGTTTGAACAAAGACATATTGGTTTCGTATTAACGACAACATCGTTGCTTGATTTGAAGAAACATATACTATATGTAAACTTAAAGAATAATTTGTAAACGGAAAAATCACAACAGAGCTTATACGTTGTGTCCATTGCAAATAATCATTTGATGTTTTTTATCATTCTTTTTTGTTTGATCTTTTCCCTATCGTAACGTTTTTGCAATTACGGGTGGGTACGCAAAATTGCCTACGTAGTATAGCACAGGCCTATCAAATCTCTATGGTTGTGCTGCTAGCCTAGTAGATAGTGACGAAAGTTGTTCTGAAAAGCTGGTGTACCAGAGAAACGCTTAATAAATAAAGACATTTTTATTTATTTATTTATAGCTTGACAGACTTCGGGGCAGGAGTACTGCTAGTTCTCCTGGTGCAGTTTGGAACCCATTAGAGTATTTTGCAGTTCTATCACAATGAATTTAGTTTTTGTTTTTTTCATTGATGAAGTCGGAATTAAAATTAGAAAGTAGGGATTGACGAGATTGGATTTTTAGTTCAAGCCGAGACGAGACGGGATTTCCCTTCTCATACATAACGCAAAATGCACGTTCCACATTTTAACTTGATTTTTGTAACTTTTTTAAATATCTACTGATTTATGACAGACTGGTTGAATTCAAAAAATAATTATAAACAAAATTATTTCAAAATTTTTATTAATCAGTATAAAAAAGCAAATAAAAAAAGTATAATACCCCCGCCGCAGCAAACCTGCAGACTTAGCGAATTTCCATCTGCCTGATTAGATTTAAACTAAACTAGGCGGAAAAATATCAGTCCGGCCGGCAGGCGAATCGTTGCGTGTATGGGGACCCTCCTTTCACAGGCCAAACTGTTCAGTTTGGCCTTCTGGCCCTCGCCGGCCGGCAGATCGTTACGTGTATGGGGGGCCTTAAAACCGTGTACAATTCAGATCAGCTAGTTTACACAAATAAAGGCAAAGTATCTTGCAGTTTTAATGTGAAAAATCATCTTGTAAACAAATGTTGTGTAACCAAATATGTTTTTATTCCATCATAGGCCTATACGATATGCATTTTAAATCCAAAAATTTTACAATAAAACAGCAATTCTGCAATTTTACGTTGTGAAAAGCTTTGAAGTGAGATTTGCAGCCGATTCGCACAGACGCACACTGATTATAACTACGGTAGAGGTACACTTCCATATCTGTTGGCACAAACAGCCGAATGAGTAATTTTGATTATTCGATTGTTTATTTCAATATATCGTTTGGTTAGGTTAACCTTACCTTACTAACCAAACGATATATCGATCAATATTTTCATTCGGTTGTTTGTGCCAACGGATATGGAAGTGTACCCATAAGTAGCCTACGGTAGAGAGAGTAATTTTGTCAATTGAGAAGTGAATAGACCTAGTCAACGACACCACCTTCCATAGCATACCTGCCTCTTCCATAATTATTATCACCAAAATACAACTACTATACACAATTTCCAGTAGGTCTGAATAGAAACGAACTAAAATAAAACGATAATTTCCAATAAAATTCACAGTACACATAATTTAACTTTGGTGTCCTAACATTAAAACTAATCGTCACTCCTATCCTTTATATCAATTTCACTGCATTAATTGCTAAATAAATAAGTGTAAACAAAGAAAAGTAAAAACAATAACAGTTTGTTTTGAAACAGCTGTTTGGTTCAAAAAACATTCATTTGAAAAAAAGAACTGGTCACATGTAGCAGGAATATAAAATGTAAACACGCTAGGAAAGCTAATGACGTAATTGTCAATGTTTATTATCCATACCGTTATCAGTTCTATCCTTGATATTAACCCACCCTCATTGAATAAACGAACATCGTAATTTCCCATATTAGTTCATTTAAAGTACAATATATTCATAGTTGAAATAAAAGTGATATTTTCACGTTTGGGGGCGCTGATATAGGCGCCCCTAAACGTAACCACAACTGAACACGATTTCATAAAAGGATGGTTTGTCTAATTGCAATATCCTAGGTCAATGTTGACGTTGTGTTCAATTTATGTCATCCATCTGTTTATCTAAACCCGGCTGAGGTTGTGGTGGTAATTTAAAAACGTGATTCCTGATTATTCTTGATCTTCTTTTTATGACATCAATATTTCCGGGCCTAATCCAAACAAAGTTAAATAACATTACATTAAATAACATTAAAGTTAAATAACAGACAAACATTAATTGTAAACAAAAAGCTACTATTAAGAATTAAGACATGTAAACATCGTTATTTTTCTAATCTTTCCTTGAAAAGTGGAGCAGTAAAAAAATTTGCATTTATCCTTTTTTATTAAGACTTGTGTACAGAGCCTCGATTTGTACTGTGGTTTAATTAATTTTGGTCTAAACTATTTTAAACTGTGGTCTAATTATCTCTACTAATCTTACTTATTTCCTATAATCAATGACAAAATAAGAGTAAATAAAATAACCTCATAGTTCCATAGTTTATATTTAACCAGCTGTTAGTTAAAACAAATAATTATATTGCTTTAAAACAAATCGAATATTACAAAGATTGCTTTAAAAAAGAATTTGAACTTCCTAGTATTATACTATGTATATTTAATTATCTGTCATCCTCTTACAGAAGAATTTAACGTATCAATGATTAGTATTAGACATAGTATAAATAAGTCAACCCTAAGTATGTCTTTACATTTTTATCCAAATGCTGAATTTGTGACACAAAAGCTGAATGTTTACAGCTGTTATGTTAAGCAAATTATTTTATGCCAAAAGCTAGTTTAGAATCTTAGCGTCGGCTGCTAGACTTTTTAAAAATTAAAACTTAATTTCTAAAAAACTGGGACCCTAAACTAAAATTATGGCTTCGACATTCCCTAGTTCTCAAAATTATCTTTCTTTCAACACAAAAATCATGAAAATCCGTCGAGTGGTTGATTCAGAATCGTGAAATAAAAAAACACTGTTTCGTTTTAATATTATAGATTGTCTCCTTAAAAATATCACATTTATTCCCTATTTAAACAGAATTAGTTTAATGAGTACTTAGATTTGCTGCAACAGGGAGGGTAAAATTTTTTTTTTAATGTAAAATATTAAAAGGTACTATGGTTTAGTAAGAAATTAATGTATTTTCCAAATTTGATCAAAATATGTTCATAAACAAGCAAACTACAACAGTTGACTACCATAAGACCTCCATAAGAATAACATGGGAATTTTAAAATTACAATTTTTTTGAATTTTCTCCGTAACAATTAGGCGCATAATAACGCTTCAATATACTAAATTATTTGTTTTTTTAAGCTCTACAAAATGGTTTAAAAAGAAATTGTGAAATTTTGTGTTTTTAGGGTCAAAAATGGGAAAAACCTATTTTTACCCCATAAAACCCCCCATAAACCCCCGTTCCCATAGTCCGATCATGCTGGTTCGCGAACTCATTCAAGTTTATCCTGCCTTACACCTTCAAACCAAATTTTATCAAAATCTGACAAAAATTACTCAAGTTATCGTGCGGATGGACACATATATATATATATATATATATAGATATATAAAAATTTGAACGAATGGTGTTTTTGGCCTCTGGGGACATCAAAATGAAAAAGTAAATCGGTCCCGGGCTTAGGTCTTACCATGAGACCTACGGTAATAGCTACTTCTCTATAGGGAAATTCGCTAAAAGGCTAATACTGTTCCTAACATGTGCTGCAATCTAGGAATCAAATAAACAAAGTTTGTCCTTTTTATGTTCAACAGTATAGGCTAAGTCAAATCATTTTAGTGGATTTGTTTTTACCTTCATACATAAAATAATGATATTAACTGTTTTATGTTTTATGCTATTAAAAGCGTTGGACCAATCCATAAAGCTGGCAAATATTGAGGTTTCATTCCTAGATTGGTAAGATTTTATTCCAGTGAAATAGGTGTAGTAATTCATTTTCCAGTTACCTGTCAAGTTTAAGGCGGGGTTCGGAGGCTGGCTGAATGTATATACATGTATATTGGAGTCGTCCAGGCCAGCGGCTAAGATGATAAAACCACCTGGTGAAACAGTTAAAGAGGCGGCCATGCACAGCCCTGACGTCAACAACAGAGCCTTCTTACACTCCACAGCTGTTGACCAAAACAAATGTCCCAGTTAATTTACGAAACTAAGGTAGAAATTCCTCCAAAACCTTTAGTGGAATCGAGGAATCTATTCTTTATACTTTGTATTTGTTACCCAATCCAGAATAGTAGTTAATGTGTACGTTTTAGACAGTATTTAAACATGATTCAACCTTCATGTTAGTGGTAACCCAATGATCTGCACACAGCGACATCTTTAATTGAGCTGACTTTCCTTGCATTTTCTGCAATCATAATATTGTGAAATTCCCATCCGAAAATTATTTAAAGCCCCTAGAAAAAATGGAAATAAGTTTTCAATTTTGGGATTGATAATCCCTAGTTTGGTGTTCAGTTAAATTTGGAATTGATAGATAAATATAATATGTAGTATAATTTAAAAAAATTGATAATCCAAATTTAAAATTATTCTGTGAATATTTTTTATAAATTAATCTTCCTAGTTAATTTTCAACCGCTTTGCTTTCATTCATTGTGGCATCCTGATCTCTGGAATCAAAATGACATCAAGAATATTTTACCAGAATTATATTTTAGTATCGGAATCAAACATCATCAGAATCAACCTACATTTCTAAATGTGACTTTTACAACAAGTGACAGTTGAAAATGCTAACAGGATTACTAAAAGGTTACAAACCATCCCCTTGATTGCGCTCCCAGATCCTAATGGTAGAGTCTACCGCTGCGGTCACAATGACGAGGCTCTCTACAATCTTACGTTTTCCAGCTGAGAGACGGCAATATACTGCATCGACC